GAGGTTTTTACTTGCTTTTCATATCACACTGGTTATTAAAGACAAAAATAATTTTGAGGTACATGTAGCATATACTGATATACAATCTACACACTGATGCATCTACATACATACAACTATAAATACCCACAAATATAACACAGGCAGGTGACAGAAAGCATTTTCCTTACATCTGACATATTATTTGTATGAATACTCTCCAAAAGCCTGCAATACTACAAAATATACACATAAATTACAAAGGGTGAGTCAAAGAGACTTAAGGAAACCTATTGTATATACAATTACTTAACTTGCAATATTTTCTTGCTGCTGCATTCAAGTCAACAAACTGTCATGCAGATTCAAGTATTTACTGACATTCTCTCTATGAAGACACTTTCTCTGCATGCAATGGGCCAATTATTGTTCTAAGCAGAAGGCTACCCAGTTGGGTTTTGGGTATTTGTAGGTACAAAAAGAGATTGACCTTTGACTGCAGTCTTCGTTTTAGAGTGAGAGAATAAAAAGGAATCTGAGGAGAAGCAGTTAACAAAGCACCTCTCTGTCATTTGTTGGGATTATTTTGTGGTAAACCATTAGTTTCTAAAGTCCCCTGGATGACCTGACGTAAGTTGTCAGAAGACTGGTGGAGAGACATCTGCTGACTTGGGGCAGATCAGTAGTCTGGTTTGGGAGAAGAGATGGCCAGAAACCTTGGGAGCAAGGTAGGCCCAGAGCCTCATCTGCCTACCTTGTGACTAATCTTTGTCTGCTGGAGTCACTTAGAATGCTCTGTAAGAAAAGCAGATGCTCTGTAAGAAAAGTAGATGCTATTAAAACCCAAAGTAGCACTATTATTCGTAAACTAGGCTACACTTTTAATTAAGTTATAGAACTCCACTTTGGTTCTTTGTTTTACAGTGCTAGTTTTACAATTGGAAAAAAATTCTGTCATTTGAAAAGTGAAGAAATTAGTTCAGGGCTGAAGTTAAGGTGCCTATCAACTTGTTGAAAACTCAACCGGGTTCACAATAGCAAAACTACAGAGATTTGGAACTACATGGCTAAGAAATTTCCTGTGTATTCAGATTGAAAAAAGCTTACCTGATGACTATAAGGAAAAATGCCAAAGAAATTCAAATTCCACCAGCAACTAACCAAACCCAAGAAGGTCTTGATAGTAAGACAATGGAGTAACTTTGTTAAGGTCGATTTTTTTCCAATTGTCTGTGATTAGGTACAAAGGCAGAGAAGAGGTGTAGCTCACTGGCCAAGACAAGGCCCTGCCTTACCCAGAACAGCTTCCCCAGCTGTATATGTGATAGAGGGAGCAATGGGCAAACTCAGTAGAAAACTGTGTTCATTGTGCTTAGGCAGCAAAGGGCCAATGGAAATTCCTCCTTAACTTCAGAAGTTCTGTGGTTTGGCCACAACGTAAAATACAAACTTAAGAGACCAACCCTAGCTTGGCCTTAGAAAGTCAGTCAGATTTTCCTCTTCCAGAATTAATTCTCTCATGTCACTTCTGACTAGGAAACAGTCCTCATCTTCTGGATTAGAATAACAGTCTGAGAAGCATAGAGGGTCTGGCAAATGGCCCAGCTGCTTTCTAGCCTCTCTACCTAAGAGCAACAGAAAAGATTACATATATAATCTAGGAACTACATTTATACCAGAGAACTCTCCCATATGTTGGGGTTTTACTGAGATTAATTAAAATGTACAGAAGTATTGCTTGGTTTAATTAGCAAAATGATGTTTTAAAAAAAAAGCTCACCTAAAATAATGCCTATGACCTAGCAATAAAATAAGGACCCTGCATGCTAGTAAGGGGGTTTGATAGCTAACAAGGAATTCCTGACCCCTCTGTAAAAGCCAGCACGCGAGATGGGGGAATAAACTCGGAAACATTCAAACGTTTTACATATGGGCCACTTCTATGGTCAATTTTGCAAAATGACTATCGCCAAGGTATTGTGATGAGCATCAAGATTTGCTATAATAAATACTAAGTGTATTTATGTCAAGAGGAATAACGTTTTACCACATAGTGAGAAATCCCAAGGCTCCTGGGCACCGAGGTAGGGGTGAGGAATGGCAGGGGGTAAAGGGTTGGAGGGTGGAGTACCTTCAGAAGAAAACGAGGAGGAGAACTCCCCTGTACCGTGGATTAGGCAGCAGGCTTAGAGCAGCTGTGAGTGGAAACGTCTTCAGTTTCTCTGACTAGATACTACAGAAAAGAAAATTGTCACAAAAGAAAATGTGGCCGGCTATGGGCCAGACTCTCAGAATCCATTAAAATCAGAGAAGGCCATTTCCTCACATAGGATAAACTCTTGGCTGCCACGTGCAATAATAATAGACAGTAACCTGCCAGAGGCATCATGGGAGAGCCTTTCTTAGCCCAAGCCCTAAAGATAAAACAACATCATGCCAGGGCAATCTGGGATCCTGACTCACAAAACAAACCTTTGAAGTTGTTTTTAAAGATAAACTATGTCAACATAGTTTACAACAGCTTCAAACGTGCCCTTCTCTTCTAATTATCTATTAGCATATCCAAAAGTTCACGGAGATAATATTAGTGAGTAATATGTAACAGGAACAATGCTGTAGTGGAGCTGATGTTAACCAAGTATTTCAGGATTACTCTAAATGTCAGAAATACTGTAGCAAGGTACCGTTTAATGTATATTAGATACTATAAGTGAAATGTACATAAACATTCTATATATAGAGACATACACACACACATATTATGGGCAAACACATTCAAGCCAGTCAGGGATATATATATATATATTTTTCAATTATTGAAGCTCATAAATGACATGGTCTAGGTACCTGTCTTCCCTCTGCTTAGGATAAATATGTAGGCAGAAAACAAACAGGCTGATAATTCAGATTCTAGGAAGAAAGATGACTTTCTATGGAAACCTTAGAACCATCTGACGTTAGTCAGAAGCTACAAAAATGAATCAGGTACATGGGCCATACTGGTAACAACCTGGTTTGTTTCCTGGTTTTGAAACATGAATTTACTCACTGCCTCTACCTAAACAAGGCAGAGGGCTAGAGTGAATTTTTCAAAGGTCTGGCAAAATACCTATCACAAAGCAAGCAGCTACAACCTTGGGGAGAAGAGTTACTCTTCTCTGGGCACTAAGCAAACATGGGCATTTCTACAGGTGAAAGAATATTAATAAATAATCCTATAACTAATTGTTGCTACATCCTAACAATATACCACTTTAGCAACTACCATGGTTTTATAGCGGACTTTCTCTAATTCACTGGGAACCATGCTATTCACGCAGAGCAGCTGATTCTTTGGTCAGAGTACCTTCAACTAAGAAACTGATTAGAATTAGAGCAAATTTCTCTAGGAGAGAAAAGAATATTCAAAGTGATTCCATTAGTTCTGAAGTTGTGCCATTTTGGAGATTATAGTTTTAGGTTTACAGAATTTCAAGGTTTGGATATCAGAAAATTCTAAGGTCACAGTGGGCTAAACTTTCACTTTCACTCCCTTCTTTTCCTGGATGGAAGGGTATCGAGGATAGAGATGATTCTGGATTCCTAGTTTCCACACTGTGGGAGTGAGGTAACAATTTCCTGTAAACCAAACATCTGCCTACTGCTCACGTCCCTAAAAGGCAGTTATTACGACTATCTTTGAGAAAACAAAAGTAACTTGGTGCCAATCTCTCCTCAACTTTCAGTGGCAAAATGACTCCACGTCCTCTTTCCCTTGCTTGGCGGAAATGGAATCCACTCTTCAAGTAAGCTACTGAGCTTCCCCAAGTTCTCCAGCCCTGCGATCTTCATGCCCCCTTTCCCTCCTTCCAGCAGGGTCTGAACTCGATGATAAGTGTTAAGATGCACGCACGGCCGCGTCACATTGGGAAGTCTTGGTTCCCAGCATCTTAATTCTTAGTTGAACTTCTGTGTGAGTGCTCAATTCCACGTCTGTGACTGGGCACGATGCCACATACAAAGGCTTATATTAACTCTGGCTAGAATTTACTATGCTACAAAGTTTGTCCAGTTAAGTCTTTCACAATGGATGAAATTTTTTACCTTAAAAAAAAGTATAACAGCTGATTTGAGAACACATAAAACAACTGAGCAGAGTGCAAACAAGAGAAAATCAAAGGAGAAGGGATACATAATTCTTTCTGAAATCACGATGCCCTCCTCCTCACAAAAAGGTGCATTAGTTATCAAGTAGCAAAAATTATGGAAGCAAAGAAATCAAGAGCAGAGACCATCTGTACAGAAACTAACAAATATACAATAGAAATTGTTACTAATGCACCATTTAGTCACAGACTTTTTTTTTTTTAATATATCCACAGATTACCAGAAAGATCTTGAAAAACCCTATTTTGCTCCATGACCAGCACTTCCTGGCCACCGGTAGATTCTAAGTAACCTTCTGCTTAATGCCTGGTGTTTCTGGTCGGTGATCCTTCCTCTCTGACACGTTACGCTTGATCTTGGCAGTGACTGGCGATGAATCTGGATTCAGTGAAGGACTCGAATGCGACTTCTTCAGTCCAGCTCCCTCACTTTCACTGTTACTCAGAAGCTCCTGGCCACCTTCTTTTAGAATGCTAACATAAATGTCATAACGAGTTTTCTGGAGAGAGAAAGAGAAGAATGAGAGTCAATGAAGGCTTCACAAATGCAAATGTGTAACACACCTCCTTGTGTTAACAACCTGGAGAGTGTGACGGGCTGCTGAAGACTCAACTTCGTTCCCCAAAGTGACAAATTACTTGGGTACTTACTGGGCACATGAGAGGTAACAGCTATCGGAGATGGACTGGTTTACTGATTAATTCATTCATTTAAATAAGCAATTACGTTAGAATTTAGTTCTCATATATTCTGCCTTCCAAAGGAATGTCAACGAGGAGTTATTGGCAAGGAAAGGTCTAAGTTGGAGGAGCTGTAATCTCTGGTTCTGGGCATTTGGGTGGCTCTCCCACTTGATCTAGACCTCACTTCAGCCTGGCTTGCATATTGTTTACTCTTTCCTACTTCCTGTAGCTCTACAAAGACTTAGTTTGAGCGATAGCTCCATGATGAAATTACTCTCCAGTCCACTACAAGACCTCAACACTTTCTAGAAGCTGCCCTGGATTTCTCTCCATTGTTTTCCTGCTACGACTGCCCAGTTCTCGAGTTGCTTACTATGGTTTCTTACAGAAATTCAAATTAGTTTCCAATGCCCTTCTCGTTCAACAAAGTCAATTTCATCATCAAATATTTATTGAATACTTACTATGCTTCAAACATCTCCTTGATTCTCTGTCTCTCTCTTGTTGTGTCTGGATATCTTTTTATAAGAATAATTGAGAACAACACTGTAGATGTCTTTTTTCTCGTCTCTAGCCCTAATTGGTGCTGGTTGATTTTCTTTTTTTTTCTTTCTTAGTTCATGTAACTTAAAGTCAGTATATAGAACCATTGTATACATACTGAAAACTATAGAAGGGTCTCAAGATTCTTGATTTGGTAGATTTTAGTCAAAATAAATCTTTCACTATACTGCCTCAACACATGAAGGATTTAAAGAAGGTCTAAAGTGTTTTATTTCTGAACAAAAGAACACATCAGTTATAAATAGTCCCAATAAACACAGGCAGATTTTGTTATGACTATAAATCTTTTAAGGATTTTTCTGGTCAGACTGGAGTTTGGTATATCTCAGTTTTAGGTTAGTAATTGTGAAGTGCGACTCTTTCAAGTTGTTTTGTTCATAAAAGGAAAAAAAACTCATTTAGTTGGTTCTGGATTTGGTCAGTATCAAAGTGGAGGTGCCAGGCCTTGGGGTTGCTGATAACGCTGTCATTTATTTAGCACCCACAGGCTTGCTCCAGGTTATTCTTACAACAATCATGCTTGGTTTACAGTTAAGGAAATGGAAGCACAGAGAAGTTCAAAGTCAGAGAATTAGCAAGAAGTAAAGCTGAAATTTGAACCCAGGCAATCTGACTCAAGAACTCATGCTTTTAAACTATATCTCTAGATATGAAAATATATATATATTTCTATATTTTTCTTTATATATGAAAATATAGACATATGAATGAATATACATTTTATGATACCTACAATGGCAACAAACAACAAAAAATTCTCACAGACACTGCTGGGTGGCACCCAAAAACTGCTGTCAAACCCCTCTTTTCCTATGCCACCTGCTGCTACAAGGCTAATAAAACCCCAGATCTTTTCTTTCCCAACCTCTCTTGCAGCTAGAATGGGTCATGTGATGTTCTGGTCCATCTGTTGGGGGTGCTTCTGGGATACAGAATGTGCTTTCTATTAAAAGGGACAGATTTTAGAAGGAGGTCATTGGTGCTAGCCCCTCACTCTTATTCCTTCCTTGACATGGATGTGATGCCTGAAGCTGTCACCCTGTGACAAGGGGCAGCAAACATGAACACATGAGGACAACATGATAGACCTGAGAAGTGGAAAGACAGAAAGAGCCTGGGTCTTAGATAACATAATGTGCGGGATCTATCTCTAAGACTCCCCATGACCCCCAGAGATCTTGTTAAGTATGAGTAATAAATATCCATATAAGTCAAGCTACTGTTCATCAGGTATTGTTATGTGTGGCTTAAAGTATTACAATGTATTAGAAACAATACATTTTAATTGATAAACATTCCAAGTTTAATAAAGTAACAAAGTAAAGCAAAGGACAGCATGCCCAACATTATCTCAGAAAGCTGCATAAGGGTTCAATAAGGATATTTACTAGTAAAAAATACATCATTAGTATTACACATCAATTTATGCATCAGTGAAATCAGGGGATTCAACTAGGAGATATGCAAAGGGCATGCTGGTTCTAAAGTTCTATTCATTCTAGGAATGTATTATTTAATCTGTCTCTAAACTACCTTGGTGGCAAGATTAAGATGAAGGAAAGAATTACTCCTCACAGGAACACGGTTTAGTAAAATGATCTAAAGACAGTTTAAAAACAGATTCAAGAAACCAGTGTAAAGCATACTGTTTCACAAAGTTGGGGCATTCATACAATGAAAGGGGTCTGAAAGACTTTTTTTTTTTTTTTTAGATGACTTAAATGTGACAAAAGGTGAGAAGGTAATAGGGCCAGCCTTGTCCCAATCTTTGAAGAAACTGGTATCACAGGGGAAATTCACCTGAAAAATACATGGAGGAAATCATCTTCTCTACTGAGTTCTACAGCTCCAGCTGCAAAGCTGTTGCCTCAAATAAATTACATCAATGTGCCAATCAATAAACAAAAGGCACAGCCCAGAGGAGTAGCAAGGCATGAGTCATCGGATTAGAAGCAAAGACAAAGCAAGAAAATGGAAGAAGGGGGGCCAGAAAACAAGGCTCTTGTAAAGAGGAACAAGGAAAAGGAAGCATGTGAGTGTGTGAACTTCCAAATGGCTGTGTTCCACATCTGAGTTACAAAGGTACAGGGACAGAGGCCTCAAAACTCACTAATACAGCTTTTTCCAAGCTCTGAGTCCAGTTTTCACTGAATCCAAACCAAACGCCTCTTCAAAATATCTTAGGAAAAGATATCGTTAGTCTTCTCAGAACTAGGCAAAGGGTTTGGTTCAGTAATGTCTTTCAGGGGATTACAGACTCAGCCCTATCCAGAGGCCAAGAAAGATTGCGCTGAATGAAGCTGTGAAGATCAACAGGAATGAACATAATTTTAGAAGTCCCCTCTCTATTGATTTCTCTTTGTCTTCTCCTTTTGGGGGATGGGGAGGAGATAAGAGTGAGAAGTTCATATTCTTCCCAACTATGTAACCATGTGATATCTTTGGAAGCATCTTTCCTTTTTTCCTTTCAGAGTGGACATGAGTCCTATCTTTTTTTCCAAGACCAACAGTAAAATTTAGGTTTTAAGTTAAAGCTGGTATATAAGGAAAGGTAAAGAGGAAGCTGGAGGTATATACGTAAATCACTTTTTAAAGATCTGATGTACCATGTCAGAGACCAACAACCTGATGAGCAATGTCCAAATGGTCAACCTCAACCAAAGAAGTCAGCATGATATTATGGCAGTCACTGTTTACTGTCTCCCTAACAGTCTCTTCTTTCATGATAATGAAACTGATTTTTATTGAGGATGTCAAGGTGCCCAGCCTCAGGTGAAGAATCATTATTGGTTTAAATCAAACATGATTGGTTGGTTTCTCTTTGCCAGCATCCCTTGGGATGGCCACATGACCTAGATTTGGCCAATGGCATGTAAGTAGGCATCTGCTAGGGTACTTTTAAGAAAGCAGCTTTTGCTATCCTGATAAAAGGTAGTAGATGAAATAGCTGGGGTTATGGCAGCCATTTTGAGATCATGAAGTGAAAAGCATGAAAACAAAAAAGCCAATGTGTTAAGGATAGCAGATTAGAAATACAGAAAGATTGTAGGCCCTTAATGGTAACATTAAGTAGCCAGTAATTACCCACTTCCAGTCTTAAGTGAGATAATGTTTGTACTGTTTAAAAAGTCAAGTTTTTAGTTATTTGTAGTCAAAATCTTTCTTAACTGGTAAAATGATCAGCACTCAGCTTGATCTCAATCATCAGAAAAATCCCAGTTGGGCTGAACATGTACCTCATGTCTTAATTTTATTTAAAAATATACTTGATTAATCAGCTTTGCTATAATGTAGCTTTGCTAGGGTTCTCTCTCAATAGTCAACAAATTATTGATGGATATGACTCCACTATGGGCCACACTGTGGTCACATAATAAACATTAAGTCAATGGCTATTTTATTATTTCCATTGGTAGTTTTGTATCATTTGCTTAATCTCGATGACCGCTGCAGAACATTCTTTCAGTCCTCCCAGTTACATGATTTCCTTCCCCATATGCCTACCACATGCAGGATCTTCTTTTCTAACAGTTAAACACAATTTTGAGTTTTAAAGCAGTTTCCATTTCTAGGTAATGACTGGTATTCTAGTATTTAGGGAGCAAACTAGAAGATTCTTCATAAATCTTGAAGAAGGAAATTTGACAATGAACGCTTGACTCCTTGACTCTTCTCTTTCTCTAATACCCCACATCCACTCTACCTCTATTTTCAAAATATATTCAGAATCGGACCATTTCTCACCACCTTCACCACTTCCAGTCTGGACCAAGCACCATTATCTTGTGCCTGGACTATTACAGTGGCCTCCTAACTGATCTCTCTGCTTCCCTCTTTGCCCCTGCACTCACACTCCTTTCTCAAAACAGGGTGATCTGTTAAAGTCAGAGCATGTCACCTCTGCTCAAAATGCCCCAATGGCTTCTCATCCTTAACAGTCCTTCTCAACCCAAATCATTAAAATGGCCTATAAAACCCTACAGAACCTGTGCTATCATCCCCCTCTCCTCACTTTTCTGGTCTAATCTCTTAAGGCCCACCCCCCAGGTCACTGAACCACCAGCTCCGCTTCCTGGCTGTCCTTGGACACTCAGGCATACTCCTGCTCTAGGACCTTTGTGACTCGATGTTGCCTCTGCCTGAAACGCCCTTCCCCCATAATCCACAAGGCTTACTCTTTCCCCTCTTTAGGACTGTACTCAAATGTCACATCCTCACTGAGGCCTTCCTTGCCCATCCATCTAAAATTGCA